AAAAATGTCCATACAAAACCCCAAAACCCCAAAACCCCAAAACCCCAAAACCCCAAATAAAGAAAATAAAGTTGACTAAGTTATAATTAAAGATGAGCGAATTAAATATCGAGAAGAACGAATGGGAAGAAATTGAGGCTGTCCTCACAAAAAAGATTAGAAATAAGAGAAAGAAGATCGACAAGATCATTCAGACTGAAGCTAAAGTCAAGAATGGAGAGATTGTCCCAACTAAAGAACAACAGGAAATGATCCAGAGCAGATCTAAGATTGAAACACAGATGCAAGAGCTTACTGAGATCAAGAATGGGGTCAGGAAAGAGTGGAAGAAAGTCATGACAAAGCATAATAAAATTATCAAAGATCTTTCAAGTCAAGAAGAGCTCAGAGATAGCACTATCAACGAATCTTTGGGATCAGTTGCAGACGCGCTTTTAGTGAATCTTCTCCAAAATGAGTACGACGCTAAAGATTTGCTTGCTGAACAAGAAAAGATTGGCTTGGAAGCTATCATGGTTCCAATTAAGAGTCTTTTTACTCCTCCTGCTCAAACTCTTATCTACAACAGAGCCAGAGAATGCTTCCTAGAAATTTTCACTAACTTTGTGAAAGGATCTCCAGATATAATTCCAGGATCTGAGACAACTTACAAGGATTTGTTGAATGAAATCAAAAATATTCCAGAATCTGTTAGAACTTCAAGTCACAGACTTGATGCTCAGGACACTTCAGATGGTGCTTCTCCAGAGGTCTCTCATGAGGAAACTGCTGCTGTTCAAGTAAATAACGATGCACCAATCCAGGCTGTGCCACAGGGTGTAGATCAGGAGGCTGCTGTTGACCAAATTGTTGGAGAAGGTGAAGGTGCAGTTGAAGAAGATAAGGAAGTAGAGGATGAAACCTTAGAAGAAACTAAGGACAAAACAATTAGAAAGCAAGACTCTATGAAAAGCAAAAAGTACGTTGATGAAGATGGATTCATTTATGCCAAGCCATTAGAAAAGAGCAAATATGAAAACAAAGCTCTTCGTGGCAGAGGTAGAAGAGGCGGTGGCAAAGAGAAGAAGGAAAGACAGAGACAAAAAGCTAAGGTAGACAGAGGAACTAAGCAATATGGAGGCCGTGGAAGAGGTGGAAGAGGAGGAAGACAAACTGACAAGTTTGGAACTGACGAGCATGGTAAAAAGGATAAGAACGCCCATGGAAAGCACTCAAATTGGCACAAGGGAGAAGTGAGAAAAGTTGAGTAGAGGAAAATGCGAAAAGTAAATAGGATTTCTTAGGGAGCTTGCTTATTCTTTAGCTCTCCGTGAGAAAAATCTATATAACTTTTATTTTAAAGCAATCTACCATATTTAGGATCGGATATATCATATTTTTTTAATTATTTTGCTCAACTGCAATCATTTTCATGGGGTTTTGGGGTTTTGGGGTTTTGGGGTTTTGGGGTTTTGGGGTTTTGGGG